CAGGCCGCGAACGGAGCTGCGCAGCCGCGGTGCGCAGCCGCGCGAGGTCCCGGTCCTACAACCAAAGCTACCCCCAGGGGTTCAATAGGATGTACGACCACAAGGGTGGTTTGGGGGCGGGAATCTTAGAATGTGGGAGGCCATTTCATGTGTCAAAACAAGGAATGGGCTAAACCAGGATTTCATGTGAACCCTCCAACTGAGGACGGATGCGATCTCCTGCTAAAAGCTAGCTTGTTGCACGACAAACGGGGGCATGAAGGGCAACCAGAAAGGCAAAACACTAACTGGGAAACCTCAGACTACCAGTGAACACTGCCACTAAAGTGGTGGACCTCCCTTTTCCTTCATCCCCCGCAAAGTCCAAATGAACACCAGCCCATACTGTTGGGGCGGTCTCCCATGTTTAAGGGTAGCTTGAGGGGCAGGGGTTCTTATCTCTGCAAGTTTGGCAATTCGAGCACCTTTCATGAATTCTTCCAATGGACGCCGCGTTCGCCACGGTGAGCCTGCTCCCGCATGCTTCGTTTCGCTCGGATATCTCAAGAAGATGGGCGGCTTCCTTTGGGAAGCCGCCTGGGAAAGGCACAACTGGCCAAATGGTACCTTGGGTGACGCGAGAAAAGGGAGGCCGCGAAAGAGCCGATCTTCAGCAATGTCCTGCTACATGTCTCAATGGAGGGGGGGCGGGGAGTGGGTTTTTGGGATGGGAGGAAAGGAAGAAGGAAACCAATACCTTGAAGGGTTCTTAATTTGTAGACACACCCCAGTCACCTGCAACTCAAACAAGGCAAAGATGGCTGTGAGGTTGCAGTCAAACCAACAGCGCCCTATGCGGCGAGTGACACCAACTTTGTAACGAACTTTCGTCTGCCCTCCCGCCGCCAACATGAAGCCCACTAGGAGGTCCCTTCAAAAGGAAACTTGTTTTTTGGGGAACCTGACTGAGGTTCCATGCTCGGAGTGCAACAAAGACAACAAACATCAGGAACGGAGCAAGTCTCAAAGACCCCTGGGTGCATGTGGCAGTCCTTCACCGCGCCCGTAGCGCCCAGCATGCAATGGGGATGCCCGCGGCCTTCGATTTTTCGGGGGGCCTGGGCCTCTATCATGTGTGTCGTTAAGGACCCGCCAAATGGTGGGTTTCCTTGTGGTTCTCCTTTTAAACCAAGAAAAGGATAGTCTCAACAAACACATGATGAAAGCACTTGGCAAAAAGACAGCGAGAAGGTGAGCCCCCTATCTTGGGCGGAGGGTGGGGTTAAGCTTCCCCTGGCTTCAGGACGCCCAATCTTCCCAGGAAATTGGCGCCATAAACAGCAAGCAAACTTCTAGGGGTCACCCCCCACTTGTGGGGCCACTGGACACCAACTGTCCAGCGATTCTGTTCGTACTTGGGGCTCCTTAGCTCCCCATTCAAAATGTCATGCTTGCAAGCAGCCCTGGCTCCCTGGCTCAAACTGTCAATGGCCATTCAAACGGAATCGATAGGTGAAAAGGCTTTGTTTGGATGTGTTCGGCTCGCCTCATGGTCGAATTTAGTGTTTCTACCTTTAGGAGCACCGAATCGATCGGTTCATCGGTTGACCCTTCTTAGTGGGCTTCTCACCCACAGGAGGGGATCAAGAACAAAGGGCCAATCGGTGGTTCAACCGCCCAAGCCTTGGCCCGTACAAGCAAGCATGTTCAACACTCTGTCTCATATTTGGTCTACCCCCCCCCCCAAACAAAAAATAAGAGAGCAAGACACAGAAGACAGTTTTGGAGGTCCCAACACATAACTATACATACATACACATATATATATATATATATTATAAAGCTATATATATATATATATCTTGGAGGAGACCCCAGCCAAAGTCGGACAACCCCTCCCTCCGCCGCAACATCCCGCGCGCCGCTTTTCCCGGCACCTGCGGATCCGGTGCGCCAGGCGCAGCCCAGCAGAGGCCCACAGCAAAGCACCTGCTCCGCGGCGGCCGCCTGAAAAAAGCGGCGCCCGACCGCCCGTTCTTGGGGTCAGCTGACTGGTGCGATGGGCAGGGAATGAGCTCACTCAAAGGAAGCCAAGGGAAGGTTGGTCTTTTTGTGAGAAATGGAATGAACCGTTCGGGGATTCCCGAAAAAGAAAGGAAACCCAAGGAAATGGATAATTTTCCTCGGGGTAATTCCAATTCTCATTCCCTGCCTATCGCACCAGCAAGCAGGGTCTTGGTCGAATTTCCGGGGAAAAACATGTTCACAGCTGTAGACATAAGGCTACCTTCCGATGTTCTGCTAGGATTGGTGGTATGGTGGATGCCCTAACTACTGTGAAATTCTCTAATTTATCGCGGTGTACCCTGGTGTTGCGCGTGAGTATGGTTGGTTTACTTGCCAAAGTATCAGTGGTAGTGCCACCATATCAGGCTCACATACACAGAATGGTCCTTTGGGATTGGAGGATTGGTGTCTCAAACTTCCCTCATAATGTTGCTTCCTCATGTTGTCCTTCAACACCACCCAAAGAGAGGTACCCTTTGTCCAGCCATGAATATACTGGCACTACCACGAATGCCCTGGGGAAAATAGTGGGTGGCCACAATTACCCACCCCGCCCAGGAACGGTTCTTCGAACGATGTGCCTAGGGTTATGGAACATTTCTGGGGGGTAAAGGAGCCTGAAGGCTCCCCTGATTTAAGCATATTTGAACTAAAAGTTTAACAAGGTGGAGGCAGAACCTCTTTTAAACAATGTTTCACCCTGACAAATCTCCAGTTAGTTGCCTTTACATTGGCTTCCCAGAGGGGGTTGCTGTCCAAGAGTCAAGCAACCGACCACCCGAAAAGGAAGACCAAAGCTCTACCACCAATTGCCCACATCTGGTGTGAACAGAACATCGCATTTGCAGATCCTGTCTCACCACCCCAAACAAAACACTTTTGGAGGAGACCCCAGAATCCCAGCGGAAAATGGGGGGATATAACTTTGATACATAGCTCTCCCAGGCATTCTCTGGGAAAGGACTTCTACAACCCCGTGATTTTCAGGGAGGCGGATTGGGAGTATGACGGTGGCCGCTGATCAAATGTCCGGTGTCATAGCGAATGGGCCGTTTGTTGGATCCTGGTAGGCTTAGTCGCATTGATGGTCCGTGTGCTCAAAAAGGAAACGCCTGAGCTTTCGCTTGCGGGGATTGGCCCAAAAACTCCGGATTTTCTGCTTCCCGCCAAAAGGGCCGTCCAAATTCCAGGAACCAAGGGCTGACCCCTGCTCCCCAGGCACGTGAAAAAAAGGAGTGAAGTTCCAGCTGGGGGAGTGGGGGATGTGCAATCAAAGGCTGGAACCCATCTGAGGGAGGCGCAACGGGCCCACGCAGCCACTGCAGCCCATCTTCGGGTTCCTCAGGGGCATGGGTTCCATTGAGGAGATAAACCACGGGGTCCGTTTTGGGGCTAAACACCGCGGATGGGTCTGCCTCCCAAAGCAAACAAGCACTGGAAGGCAATTTCCAAAAAGGACCCTCTTTCAGGTTCCATGCTTTTTGGAGAGGATAGATGTTACCCTGAGGTCTCAAAACATAAACTCTGCCTCTGGGCAACTCAACTATGCGAGCCCAGGATATCCATTTTAGCAACGTCCTCCAACAGTACTCAACCGACGCTTCGACGCTTCGAGAACTCAAATGTTGTACTATGCTTCAAATGTTTGATCACTACAACAACGGAAAGCGCATCAGGCACAAGGAATTAGAATTCACCTTGGACAACCCAGCTTTACCTTGGAAGTGGACAAGGAGGTTGCCCACAAGCAAAGTTGCGTAGGTGAGCGCGTCTCCTGCGCCCAGGCCGCCATGGCTGCTGCGAGCCCTGGCATGTCCTCCCTGTCCAGTGCTGCCAAGGCCGCCGGAACCGGAGCGCCCAGAACCCCCGGCGCCTGAGGCGGACAAACAACATTCGCGGAGTTGGGGTTGAATCGTACTGTGAGTTGATAGTCAGTGACCGTTTCAGGACTTTTGTGATGTACATATGTTGTGCTTGTATGTGTTTGCTGCACATGTATTGCATAGGTATGGTGTATGAATCGTATATATGTATTGTCTGTAACTATTGTATGTGTTGTACTTACTGTATGCGCAGTATGGATTGTATCTATTGCAAGTGTATGGAGTGTATTGGGTTGCCTTGTGTTGTGTTGTGTTATGATGCATGTTACTGTATTGTCAGGCGTGCTAAGTGTGTACCTGTGTATACCTGTGTATGTTATGTATGCTCGCAATGCAACTCAAACCAAATTCATGTATGTGTATGCATGTGTGCATGCGTGTACATCGATGTACGTATGCATCTCTGCCAGTTTGCCTGGAGGCCCGGATGCATGGATGTCTACGGCTCTGTGTGTCTGTGTGTTTGTTTGCATGTATGCCTGAATGTATGTGACACAGTATATGTGTGTGTATGTGCGTGTGTACGTACGTATGCATGCATGTGTGTGACACCCTTCTACCCCCCCTGTTTGTTTTTCTTTTTTGGTTTGGTGCAATAGGAAAGCAATCAGAAAGTCAACACGCGCTTGCCCCAAGACAGCTCGAAGCACACCATCCGACGATGAATGTGGTGCACCCCACCTCTGCCGCAGGCTCAAAGAGGTCGTAATCGTTCAGGCCTGGCGCTAGGCGAAAGTTTGAAACGTGCCAAAGCACTTGACCCCCTGCGAATTGACCTTGGAATGGGGACCCCCCAACAACTTAAGATCGGTTCAATACTGGTTTAGCACGAGTTTAGTATTGGCTTACGAACCATCTTTGTTGGAGAGAGTGTAGTTCATGTGCGTTCTTTAACCGAGAGACCGGATAGTTCCCACATGATCTCCCCCACCTTGCTTCTGTATGTGCACATTCACTACTAAATTAACATGCATGGAACCCAACTCAACAACCCATCATGTTTAGAGAAATCCTCCTTTTGGGGCCTCTTGGGGGGGTCCTAACGTGCAGAAGCGAAATCAATTCTTCGAACTGCACACAACCAAACCTTCTATGGCAAACACCGAAAACTCACCTGGTACATGTCGAAGCCCTTTGACACAGCTGGTAAACGTGTTGATTGACCCGGCCAAAACATCTCTTTTGACGGGGTTTCTTGCACCACCTGCTTCACAAGGGGATCCTCTACATCAGCAGGTCAAAGTGGTTTTTTGACCGCCAAGTTATCATTCAACAGGGGTCCCTGCATTTCCGCTTAAACCGGCAAGAGGAACCTCACGGCCAAACATGTCATGTTTCAAACCACCGCAAACAAGGAAAAATAACACACACACACACACACAAACACACGTGTACATATAGATAGATAGATAGATAGATAGATACATATATATATATATGTAGATATATACATGTGTGTGTCACAATAAGGGGCCCCACAAGATGGTGGGTGTCCTCTTGGTGCCCCTTCAAGGCAACCCCGCGTTAGGGGTACCGACCGACTCGGAAAAGCCCAGCCGCATAGGGTCCGCCAAAAATCGGTACCCCATAGGGGACCCCCCAAACAACATCATGTTCAATCAGCTTTCCTCGAATTGGTGGTTTGGTGCTTAAGGGGTGGTTTCCCATTTACCCTCTACCAAAACCAGGGCTTCAAATCCAAAAGCAAACCACCAATTCAGGGCAACCTGATTCAAGCAGCCCCAACCCCCACCAAACGAACGCCCGCCGATTGCCCCGGATTCGTGCGCATGACCGGCCTGGGAGGTCCACACCCTCCAGGTCCAGCTGCGCCTCATCCGCGCACCTCCCGGTATCCAAGTTCGGGTGCGAAGCTCCCGAGCTTGGGTCGATCGCCTTTGGTCGGCTTTTTGTTGAAAAAGGACACATATGACTTTGGGGTTTGCCCAGCCCTTTTTGGGAGCAAAGCTCGCGGGGCAATGGGCCCCTTGTGAGTCTACCAAAGGACCCAAAATTCCACCCCAAAGCAGCTGGCAGCAAGAAAACGAGATATACAACCACATACCTCCAATAAACATATGGAAGTGCAAAGGCTCTCTTTCCATAGAACACCCCCTTTCCCCTACTTCCCCCGAATAAGGCCCTTTGTCAAGATGGTTACACTTGGCCCCGAGGGAGGGGCCTGTCTTTGGATGTCCCTTTAAACAGCTTTCCCTTATAGCCATGGGTCAAAATACGGTACCGCCAGTGAACATCCCAATCCCCACTAAAATGGACTAAGATCATGGTACCACTGGTTTTGACCCACAGCCAATTGACAAGCCCCACCCAAAAGGCTCCTGCCTTTGCAGCGTGTACGCCAGCGCATGCAGAGCGTGGCCGGCGCTCCAGCCGGGCGGCTGAAAGCTAGGCAGCACCGCCGCCCCGGACAGGTCCTCCCAGCCGAGTGGGGCGGCTGCGTTTCGGGCTCGCTTGGGGCCAAGACGGTGCTTGCCAAAATGGAAATAGTACTGTATACAAAGTCCAGAAACAAAACATTGACATAATTGGATGAACACCAAACACCAAAAACAAACAATCTGGAAATAACCAGGAAGAACACACCTGTTGACAAGTTGATTGCTGGTTCTCAGTGGCGAATTTCCTTGGGGTGTTAAGAATAGTGGGGATCCCCTTAAAGGAATTTGCTTTGCCGCAAGAGGTGTTCGTTGTTTGGGGCCGAAGCCACTAAATAAAAAGTCAATTGGACCAACCGATGATTCTAATGATGAGCCCCCGGCCCCCAAAGGGAGAAATATAAGGCTTTGTGGAATCCACTGACTCACTCGCCCAAAGAGCTTGGACACCAAAGTGATCTTTCAGGGAGTTTGAGTGTAAGGATGGAAGCCGAAACTTGGCAAAGGTCGAAGGCAAGTGAGGGACCAAAAGACGAAGGGATGTTTGTTAGTTGTCTGTGTGTCAGCAGATTCCATCGACGCTCTTGCTACAACAAATTGAGTGTGTCATTTTCAGGGGTTCCCTTACACATACTCAAAATGGGGCAGTAGCGAACGACGAAGAACAACAAGCAACAAGCCGTCAACATGTGCTGTGGATAGAAGGTGAACCCAATCGGACGCAACCCGCGTAAATAGGGATTTGGATCCCAGCCATGTTGAAATGTTCCTTTGGGGGGGATGTTAGCGTCGTTATGAAAGGCATGCAGGCACACGAACACACATTGTCAGTGCACACAAGTTGATGCATGGCCAATGTTGGTTGCAAACGCTGGCAGAAAGTGCCTGGAGAGCCACCATGTCCATCCCAGCAAACATGAATTGGTTAGAAGAGTGTCTGTGACAAGGGGGGCACGCAAACGACCCGGTTGGGGACTCAATGTGTAGACAGACGGTGGCAATTGTTGCAAGACCATAATGCACCAATTCAGCTTCACTCTAATATGTGCTTCGCTACATGCATAGCTTCGTTTGGAGGTATCAGCTTCCCATTGAGAAGGACTTCTGTTGATTCAGATTTTCGAGGAATTGAACTGCACCTATGCAGAAAGCATTTGGTGTTTGTCAATTTATGCATAAAACCAACGCTGTCCTAGTTCTCCCGTTCACAGCCAAGCACGAGCCAGAGATGACAAATTGTAGAAAAGCCAGGGGAAAAAAACAGCACACTTTTATTAATCCGGGGCCAACATTACCCCAAGAGAATATTTTTGTGGATGAAGTGTGAGCAGCCCAGCTTTTCTGGCAGGATTCCAATTTTTGCCCTTTCAATGTCGCCTTTTTTCCAAAGGGAGGCTCAGAATCAAGCACTTGCCCCAACCCAGGGACTGAATCGCCGCGGGTTCAAGGAGGAACACACGCGAGGTCGTTTGCCCCCAACAGCTGGGGGTTCCCAGATATTTTTTCTACTGTTCCCCCCAAACAATGTGTCTTCTCGTTTTGGTGCTCCGTTAAAACTACAAAAAAGGGGGTACCCGGAAAACCAGTACGCACCCGATTAGATTCGCAGTGGTTCTGGACGCTTCCCCAGGTCGAGCCTCCACTGGCGAAAAGCGCATGGAGAAGGTACAGGCGAAGAGGCTGCCAGGAGCCAGCAGGCCGGAGCCAAAGGCTGCCTCTGGTTTGGGAACATCTCCCTGGCTGCATGGGTGTGTCTTGTTGCGAGGGTACCTTGTTGTTGCGGTGTTTAAAGGGAAACCAAGAAGGACAACCACATTTTTCGCAGGGTCCCCTAAACAAAAACACTCCCAAAGATCAGCTTCTCTCTAACTTGTGGTTTGGATTAGTAGTCTCGAGGTGCTCCGGGGTGCGTAGCTCATCCGGCTAAAAGAACAAGGGGTTCAATTCCCGAAGCCGCCAATCCAAGCCACAAAGGGCTACCTGGAAAAAGGGGTCTGGAGTTGTGCCATGAAAAATACTAGTCGGTTGTGGAAAACTTGGGCCCACAGGCTGAGAGCATGTTCACCATGGTCTGTGGATTCGTCGCTTTCTTTTTGAAGCTTCCTCTCGGGGGAAATTCTGACACTAGCCCCCCTCCCCCCTACCCCGGCATCCCTAGCAGAAGTACCCTCAGGGAAGACTTGGGAAACCCGCTCCTTTTGTGATTCGCCTTGGGGCGCGCCCCGTGGGCAGAAGAGTGGCGCGCTCTATTTCAAAAGTCCCCTACTTAGAGACACACTATACTTAGTCCCCCTACATGGGATGTAAGAGCCCCGTACTATGAATTGAGGGGGGGGGGGGTTCTGCTGTGCCACCAAAATGACCGGGCGCTTCCGATCGATCCGAAGCGCCTGCAGGTGGCTGGCGCGCGAGGCGAAGCACCCGGTGTGGTCCAGGTACACCAGGCGCAAAGGGCCCAGCTCCAAGTTGCTGCGCAGGAAGTCCTCGCCGGAAGCTCCAACTGGCCGATGTAAATCTCACTGGCTGAGTGGATGGCCCAAAAAACAGTCCAAACTGTGCATATTTAGAACTACAATGGTCTTCCCAGAAAGTTTAAAGTTCATGAACTCAGGAAATTAGAAATAGGACCAAAGTCTTCGAAAGGGCCGGGAGCTTTCCATGGAATCGTCTTGGGGAGGGGGGGAGCTTTGCATGAAATGGCGCCAAATGCCAAGTTGTTTTTTTTCTTTGTGGCCCTTTTCACCACCAAAGCACCAAACACAGGGTTTTGTTTGAGGTATGTCCTTTTTATTTGCGGCCCTTTTGCGCACCAGAAACAAGGTTGAGGCTGATGGGCCTTGGGTGTTGGGTAGTGCCTCCTGGTTCTTGGAGATCATACTGCGGATGGCAACAAAAAACCTCATTGGTGAAGTTTATCAACCAGAGCGTTTCATCCATCCCCCGTAGCGGAGTTTGTCCACAGCAAGCCTTGCAACCGAAGAGTAACCATTTGTGACTGATAGTGACGTGTTTCCAGCATCATGGATAATGAAAGGTGGTTCACTAACCTTCCCATGGCTTTGCTTGGCTCTGGGCACCCATTCGAAAGCTGAGGCCTTATGCCCCTTTCAACTTGGGCGGAACGTTCCCCCCAAAGAGTTCCCTAAACAGTATGCCGTTCAAATTGATAGATCCGGATCTAACTCCTTCCGCAGATTCGCCAAACAAATCAACATATGTTCCCATTCAACAACCCAAAGAGGGGGCTTTTGTTTCCCCAAAAAAACCTCAAACAGTGACAAAACGGTTTGTCTCAAAGCAGGGCGACAGATCCGAAAATGGATTGTGGCTTTCCTCTTGGTGACCCAAATTTGAAGCCACCCCAAAAGGGTACCAAGTACCAAGTACCAAGCCTCAAAAAAACGACACATGTACGGTCAAGGACCTCAGGGAGTGACACATCCATCGGCGTCCTCCACGCGTCCACACCAACTCCACAGGCCCTTGGCCCTCAGCGCCTGGCGCCAGGCTTCAGTGGCCCCCTGAAGCACTAGTTGTCCCCCCTGTGAAAATTTGGGGTTGTCCCCCTTGGGACAATTCGGGGTTGTCCCTCCCTCATTTGTGTGAAAATGCAAGGTTGCTCTCCCCGTCCCCGCCCCCCCCCTTCGCCAAAACTGACAACTTGAACCGCGCTCTCACTTCATGATTTGGCGACCTGACCGCTTCCTTAAGGGAGGATTTATGAAAACAAACCGCTCAAATGGGCAGCTCCCCCCCCCGGTGTTACCTCTCGCCTCAAGCGTGCAAGCGGGTCAACCATGGGGCAACCCATGGCAACCCATCGATCGCCAACTTGGGGCAATGGATTTTGCTCTGAGGAGGGCAACCCAAACTTGCACCTCCAAAGGTTGCCAACAAATCTGGCAAAGGTCCAAAACGAATTGAATTGAGGCCCTTCCAGCACGCTTCTGCGCCGCGCGTCATGAAACCAACCAAACAAAAGTGATTGGAGAAATCTCCTTTTGGCCAACCCCCTGTTTGGGGCTCCATGCAGGAGACGGCCTTTGGGCATGTGTCACAATAGGGAAATGGACTGCGGAAAGGCAGCTTGACAAAGACCCTCTCAGCTCCCTTTCTATACCTTTAAAAGGTTCCCTTCAACTACCAATGTTAAAGCCATACTTAAACACACACAAGCCGCCCATTTGGCAACCCACCCCCTCCCAAGCCGCCCAGAGCCTCCGCGGCCTCCGGCGCCACGTTGGGCGCCAGCACCGCGTGCGGCGGCACGGCGAGGGCCGCCGAGGTGGCGCCAGAGGCGCCGTCCAGGAGCAGCACCTGGGGCCTGGGCTGCTTCAAAAAACGAGCCGGATTGTTGGGCAGGGGAAACCTGCTTGTTGGGGCTGGTTTTGCTTGGGAGACAAGGGTTTGCCTCAAAATGGATTTGGTGGAAGGGTCACTGGACAGAACATGAAATCACTAATATCAGAGATCCGTGTTTCTTGGTGATGTTTTGTCTGTTGGCAAAACCAACCTTCTTTAGGAGGCTGTTTTTGCTTGAAAGGATGCACCCCCCCCCTTTGGAGGCGTGTGGATGGAAACCTCCAAAGGTTTGCGATCTGCTTGCTGGTTGCGATCCTCTGTTTGCGCCGACTCAGCTCATTTGCAATCCATCCCCACAAGCAAGCCAGCCTTTGTATGGGACACCTCCTCTTTGGGGTTGGCTTAAAGGAATAGAATGGGGAATACCACTGGAAATGTGTGCTCATGGATGCTTCCTCTGAAGGGAAAACCCGCCTTTTTTTGGGATGGTTGAAAGGGAAACCAGCAAAAAAAATGACATTCATTTTGGGGTCGGCTTCCCTCAAAAAGGGTGAGTTTGTTTGGGTGGATTCCCATTTGCCACCATCAAGGATAAAGGGTTCAAATTCCCAAACCACCAAACCAAACCGATTCGGAATTGCCTGCGTCTCGCCAGCCGGACCAAACACATGCCTAGGCAGAAATTGTTCTCCTCACAACTGGTTGGCCCAGGCTTCAACCCAACTCTTCAACCTGGGTCGAGTATTGAATATGGACCAAAGAAGCATATCATCAACAAACGTTTTCGCCCCGAGACGCTCAGCAGACCCCAAAAGATGTCAGCTGTTCGGAAAATGTGACCTTGAAAACAGTCGGCAGGGACACTTTTCAGGGCAATTGAACAACTGTGACGTTTGATGATTCTGTCTTGCTCGAGGGTACCATTAAAAGGGGAACCATAAGGCAAACCACACTTGTTGGGGGCCCCCAAAAAATTGGGTTGCAACAAGCCCCAACCTCTCACCAGGAAGAACACCCCAAAGTTCCTTACCTGGCGAACATAACGAAAAGGATGCTCGATCTCCCCGAAAAGCTGCTCCGAGAAGAAAACACAAATGTTAGCCTGAATTTATCCGGATGTCAGTACAAAATATGCCTTTGACACTGTCATCTAAAAGCAAGCCTCCACACTTTGGATCCCAGCCTGCCGTCAGCGACAGGAAGCTGAACGCTGGCAACCGCCTGCAGAACTTTTTGACTCGAGCTGTCGTGCCAGCACGGGGCTGGCCAGGGATTTGGCTTAGTGGTTTGGAGTTTAGGGGCTTCCTGCCCATTCAGTTCACTTTCAGTTCCCACAAAAAGCAGGGGTTCAAACCAATTCATTCAAACCGCCAATGCGGGATTACTCAAGAGAACCCACACTCGAAACACAACAATTGCCAGAACAATAACGAACCCTCAAAGGTCGGTTCATGCGCAACCGTGCTACGGATGGCCAACACCGGCCAACACTCATACAGCTGCCATGTAACATGGTACAAAGGCTGGCCCTTGCCCCATAGAATCTGAAACGGGCCTCGTGAAAAGGCAACCTTCAAAGACTTCCCTGACTTCTAGAGCAAAGCCCCAAAGAAGAAACGTAACAAATATGAAGCTTTATTTGGGGCTTGTATTTGCTCCTTGATTTGTGGCTTCTCCTGAAGGGTATGTACCGGGTCCAGGAATACAATCGTTGAAATCTGCCTTCCAGAAAGGTACAAATAAGCTAAGGTGGACCATTCAAATAGATACGGTGTCCTAACCAGCGTCAGGTTCTGGGCACTGCCCAGCAACAGCTGTGCTGAGCCCTTGGTGGGAAAAAGTTAAGCGGATGCCAAGTACGGCCAGCCAAGAACGTAACACCCGGTTGTCGTGTTTGCCATCATGGTGGTCATGGTTGGGGATTTGCCCTTCAGTTGCTCGTTTGGTGTGACCTCGGCCATTGTCAAGTTGGTCGAGCCAATGCAAAAAGGACCGTGCGGCATATCCTTCTATAACAGACGGAAGGCAACCCTGGCGCTGAAGCTGAGAGCCTGCAGACAAGTGGTAACATGCCGAACCAAGCAACCAGGAGTCACTGCACCAGTAATTAGCTGCACCAGTAGCTGCACCCCCCCCACCCCCCCGCTGCCGACTCCCCAACGAGTCATAGGGGGTGGGCAAATCCCCATGCGCTCCCAGTGTCTTTTTGCCACCTTTTGCGAGAAAATGGGCGACCTGAAAAAGGAATCCTTCACTAGGAGGGGGTTGATCAATTTTCCACAGGTGGCCAGGATCGACCCCCCCCCCATGCGCTCCTCCGCCAGGAGCTCGTTGAGCCGCTCTTTGCAGCGCCCGGCTTTGGCCGCGCGAGGCGAGACTGGCGGAGGCTCAAGTCGGATGCGTGGCCGCGGGAGTTGGAGCTACAGCGGTTTCCTTGCGAGGTGCCCTTTTGAAGATTGGTACCAACCATCAGGAAAAACAAAGTGGTTGGAACATCTTTACACGTCCATTTGGTTGTTTCTCTTTCAAAATTCGGGGTTACAGTAAACTCAGGAACTTAGGAGGTGTTCGACTCAAATTTATGGGTCTGGCCTGTGGAGCTCTTGACAGGGTTCTGAGAACCTTCCGGGTTTAGATTTTTGTTTTGGTTTTCCATTGGACCAACCTGAAAAGGTTACCCCCAAAACAACCCACACACACACACACGTGTGCAAGTGCTTCTCAAAAGCCCAGACATGCCCAGACGCTCCTAGGGCTTATAGGGGGAGAAAGCAGGCCGAATGCACTTGGCCGTCTCACCCAGCTGTTTGAGGGCCCCAAAATTTGGATAGGGGAGCCTCAAAAAAAGTGGCTTCCTAGCCTGATCAAAATCCTGGGGGGCCTAATCGCAATCCGCTTACCCTTGTTTTGGCGTGTAATGTTCTTAATCCGAAATCCGCGCTGCAAACTGTGGGTCAAAACCATATGTTGGAGCATGGACAATCCGTGCAACCCATAATCCGCAATCCCCAAGCCACATAATCCAATCTGTAAACCGCAAGTCATTGGGGATTAGGCTTTGAACAAGCTAGACTTCCTTTAGTCAAACACTATTTTGAGAAACCCCCCTTTTTTTCCGGGCGTCGAACGTTTTCTTGCTTTCCCGTGTGGTGTTCTGGAATTCACGGGGAAAGACCGCCACACCGCAGCCGTCCTTCGATCTTGGCCCGCCGCTCAAAGCGGTCGGCCTGGCTTTCACCGACATCCACTCGCCTCAAAAGAGTAAACTCTGGTTGATTCCCAGGGGGCAAAGGGGGGGCCATCTGAGTCTCTAGTTTTGGGTGGGGATCCTTGACTTGTGGAGGAACCACTGAACCACCCCCCTATGAATCTGCCAGGTTCTACTTGAATTGCGGGTGAACAGGAAACGGGCGGATGGGCCTCCTGCCGTCCCCCAATCTTATAATTTAGGGCCAATTTAGGGCCGTCACACATCCCGATGAATCAAAATGCTATGTGTCGTTGATCTTGGTTTGGATAGGATTTCAAGCAACTCCTCTCGCTCTCTGCAAATTCTGTGACTCGCAATGTCCAAGTGAAGGATGTTCATCGTCAGCTGTGCCCTTTGATGATCTCGGACAAATTGTCCAGACTGAGTCTCAATTTCTCTCTACACTTCGCAAGAAAGCACGGTTTACTAGAAATAGGGGACACCGCGCATCAGGTCGAAATCCACCCCCCCCCCCCCCCGCTCGATCAGTTCGGGTAACTTGGGCTACGCCTGCTTCCACCCCCCCCCCCCACATCTTTTGAGCCTGCCCCAAATGGCGGCTCCCCGAAAACGGTCCCCTCAAAAACACACAGCCATCTTCCAGTTGCTTCCGCCCCCTTCCCACCCCTCCCACCCGTTCTGCGCCCCTGGGCCCTATTCCGAGCCCGCGTCACGGCGCGCTCCACGCCGGCGGCGGCATCCATGGCCGTGTAGGCGCTGAGCTCCGTGAGGTACCTCGCCGACCGCACGGCTTCCTATAAGCTCTGTTCTTGGCATCTGGGGCTGTATTTTTTGCAAGGGCTTATTTATGTGAATATCCAACCTGTTGCACCCTGTCATGTATGGCTTGCTGGTCAGTAGGGAGATAGGGCTGTGGGTTGAAACCGTTTTGGTCCCATTTTGGTCCCATTTTGGTTGGTAGGTGGTGAATTCACCACCCATTTTAGAACCTATTTCAGTGGGGATTGGGATGTTCACTGGGGGTACGGGAGATGCAAAGGGATGATTCCCTCTGGCTCCTGAACAGGGTTGCTCCAATGCTCGGCACAGGGATACAAAATCGGCTCCTTAAAAGGGACGCCAAAGGAAACCAATCCGATTTCCTACCCTAGGGGAGTGTCCATCTCGTCAAGACTCGGAGCAAACCCATTCAGCTTTTTCGCAGAGGGCCGCATTGTAACCTCCGAACCACCAACCTAAAAAGACAAGCTAAAACACGAATGCGCCTACATGCAAAGCCTCAGTCCCTGACTCCCTTTTGAAGAGCTTTCTGCACACCAACTAGGATTCACAAAGTGGACATTTTGGAATCCCATGCAAAGCCATGGTGTAGACAACCTCCTTTTTGGCCTTCCCTTTAGCCCCAGTGGAGCCCAGTTACACCGACTCCAGCTCCAGCGCGCGCCGCTCCCAGGCCGATGCCGAGGCTGCCGAAGCTGCCGGCCGGGCCCAGGGCACCGCGCTGCCTGCGCCAGGTCCCACGCCAGTATAGCTTCAGCTTACAAGGAAAACTGGGGCCCGCTGGCTCCTCACAGAAGTGCTTAGAACCTTCTTGGGAGAGGTTATCAAAAGGGCATTGAATATCTATCCAAGGGCTAGGGGCGCCTCACTTCCTGAGTGGATTGGCCAAATAGAGTCTGAGCTGTTTTTTTAAGCCACGAAGATGATCTTCCCCAAAGGAGAAACAAGTCCAGGAATGAGGGGCCCCAGTGCCTTTCCCGCGCCTGCTTCAGCTACGAAGAGCGGGCGCCCGGAGGCGTCACAAAACCCCACGCTGAGGCCCCAGGGCTGCAGCAACCGCAGCAAGTCGCCTCAGAAAGCGGAGGGGGGGGGGGAAGGTCCTAGCGCACAAATCTGGGGCTGCCGTTTTGAAGGCTTGCTTAAGACCAACCCGGTTGTTTGTTGTTGGCCCTGCCCTCTGGTTGGGGTCAGTGGGTCCGTCAGGGCGTGGTAGCGTCCGTAATCGAAGCCTGCGAGTGAAACCCGGAACAACTCTTAGCAATCAATGGTTTTCCTCATCAACCTGTCAATCAATGGGCAGTGAGCGGATTGGCCAAAAACAAGCCTAAACTTTCCCGAACAAGTGTAACGTCCAAACACATGGCAAGTGGGATGCATCGTTTTGAGTCGGAAAAATGAGCCGATGCGCGCCGAGAGGCCCTCTCGGAAGGCCACGACTTGCTTTCCTCAAGGCGCCAGCAGAGCTGAGCCCTGACATCAAACGGAACACCCACTGGGAAACCCCAAAGAATTCCCAGGGAAACTTAGGAAAAAACACAACATGCGGGTATCACAGGCATGTATGTCCAAATCTCTTCTCTTGATCTATTTCGGGTCAGTTTCCCAACATGTGCCCCTGTGTAGTAGAAACATGATGGCGATGTTGCCGCCAGTCTGAGAGTCTCTTGTCGGGGTCCCCGGAAAGCCATAGCCGGCTCTGCGTGTGTGAACCAAAATGGCATTATAACGATCAAACCCTGGTACTAAAGGACTCTACCCAAAGTATGAACCAAAACGCTAAGAAGAAGCACAGGTGAGTCCATAGTCAATACATGTAAACATTACCCTAATGCACATGGAAAACAATTCGTGTCTCGCATGTCCCTCAATTGATCAGACACAAAAACCGAGCTTCTGGGAATGATGACTAGCTCTCCCCCGATTTTTATGGAGAGTGCTTTCGACCCCCATCCAGGTTGGGACTTGCCGAACTCTGCAACAATGTGCAAAGGCAGCCTGGGTTGCCCAGGGTTGGCCCTCGTTTAGGGATCAGACCCCCAAATGGTTCTGTCTTTCCTTCAAAACTACCAAAGAGTTTCCTCCAAACAAGACACGCCCAAATCACTCTTGTTACAACCGCCCTTTGGCCTACCTCTGCCCAGGAGTTGGCTTAAGTAAAAATGGCCAATCCCCAGCCCCAGCTGAAAGGAACAATCCACCGTCGGGGTCCCCCGCCAGGCTTCACCGCATACGGCACCTCCCAGCGGCCGCATCTGCCGGAGCACATCAGTGGCGAGTCCGCGGTGCAGCGCCAAACCTGGAGGGAAACCGACGGTCGATGGCTCCGATTTTCCAGTTCGACCCAAGGGAAACCCCGCGGAAGATTTCGATCCCCCAACGTAATTAAATATCAAGCCATGGGTATCATCCCTGGTTTCAAAGTGGCGCGAACGGATTTCGTCCCTCAGCATCTCTCACTTGTCCCCTGGCCTGGAAACAGGTCCACCCTTTGGAACCCAGAGGCCACAAGGTGAACACAAGGGTCAAACGGTCGGCTTTGCACTGCGGCTTTTGGCTTTTGCAGAACGGGAAACCGAGACGCTTTCTAGACAAGACGTTGGCCCCCTCAATCCAAGGTGGAAAATCGATCCCCCTTTACTCCCCCCCTCTCAAGCAAAAAGAAAGAAGGCAGAAGGACCCCCAAACCTCCCGGCTTTGTTCCTTGCACAAGGCCAAATCAAGGACAGGTTCGGGGCTTGGGATCAACAGCAGGTAGGCCGTAAGGGAACCGTGGCACCGGGTCCTGAAAGAAAACAATTTGTCGACGCCAAACGGTTCCAAGCGGATCCGCAAGCATGAAACCGGACTGGAAGCCCCTGGTTCAAGAAAAGTTGCGTTGCCCGTGACCTTCGGACTGACATCTTCGAAATGCGCGCGTCCGTGATTCAGCTTCTCCCCTAATTGGTGGGTTGCTCCTCATATTCCACTTCTGTCAAAAGCAGGTCCCCCGAGACGTGTTTTCTTTTTCTGGGGCACGATATATTCAGCAATTTGAAGGGGAGTACCCTCATCTGACAATTATTCAAACACCCTCAATTGGTGGTTTGGATTGGGAATCTGAACCTTTCCAATCCTAAATGCTGACCAACATGTTGATACGATCATGGCTTTAAAGTACCCCGCACCCTCCCCCCCCCCAATTTGATTTAGGCCCTTTAAGGGCCCTACCCCTCCCACGGGCCTGGAGGCTCACACAAAATCCTTTTACCCTTCCGACTGGAACAAGTAATGTTTCAAATGGCCAAAACGTATCCTTCAACTGGGTGCTACACATCATAGGGCCTGAGATACCCATGCCCTTGGTGTTTTGGCGGGAAGACTCACAATGCCTATTTCGCACCCAGCTGAGCGCTACATATGGAGGCACGCCACGCCTGCACATCCGAGGCCATAAGGACAATGCCAGTCCATTGGGCGCATTGCCCGATGACCCTATGTCTGTGTTTTGGGCTGAGCATTGTAAGTGGAGAAGTGGCACCGAACATTCGGGGTTCCATATCTACTGCATTCTACCATGTGAGCGGGGTGTTAAGGGATCATAAATTCTGTACTTCGCAAACTTGGCACCCACAAAAACCTCTGCTAGGGCTGCCCGAAGGGTGTGACATTCAGTCCTTCGCTTCAAGCGCACGCATCCCCGCCGTAGGATTGGACAATGCCTGGCTTATCCTGGCCATCCACGCAGCACTTGTTGCTGTTGCTCCAGCCAAGAAGCGCAAGAAGCTAGCTCAATGCCTCCTGAGGGCCGCAACCAGCTTGCATTCTCCGCAATCCGGGGCTTCAAGGTCAGTTCATCATGACAAGCGTGCTTCAGGTTGGGAACCTGAACGCTTGGAAGACGCTGCCGCAGAAATGTTCGTCTGCCAGGCTTCCCTATATTTCCCTTTGAAATATCACCCCTAACCCTACCCTGCGGAAACTTACTTATGGCCCACAGAGGTGAGTGCCTTCAAGCATACTGCCCTTACAATGAACAACCCCGAAGGGCCTCATTTCCTGTGAAATTAACTCATGTTCGGGGGCTTTCCTTCTTGGGCATTCTGCCCAGCGGGGTAGCCTCTAACCCATCTTTTGCCTCTTCCTCGCGCGCTGGCGCGTACTCAGGGAGCTCATGGCAACCCGGGCCGCGGGCCGCGGCATCAAGCCAGTAGGCCTCGCTCGCCAAAATATAATTCACCCACGGGCGTGTGTGTTTTGCGTTTGTGTGTGGGCGTTTTGAGGGTACCCTTTTTTGGGCTTGGCTTACAGGAAAGTCACAAGGAAACCACCATTTGGGGTTCTCCTAGTTGGGCACATGCCCACAAGGAAGCATTCGGACATGCTAATATTGATGCGTGCCAGCATTTGTACTACCGCAGGTTTTCTGAAGATCACCGCCTACTTGAGAGAGTAACATTGCCCCAACCTGTCGAACTGAGGAAGCTGTCAGTGGTGCCCAAGCCTGAGGCCTTGAAAGAAAGAAACAATCAGGTCCAACCTGTTGGCCTTGTTTTGTCCAGTCCTCGTTATAGATGCACCTTTTGCAGACCACCCCCTGCAAAGGGAGACAGAGTAGTAAGTATGAAGAACGGAATCCCTGGGTCTATGGCGTGGCCCATGGCTTTAGCAACCCCTTGCTTAGGCCTTGCAGTAAGGGCTTATTCTAGACTTATCCTCTGCCTATCCCGGCATCCCCTTAGACTACCCCCATGACAACCGTTGTCTTTTCTGACTCGCCCCCCATAAGCCCAGCCAAGGCGCCCCAATTTCCGGCACGCTGCGTGCAGGCACCTTCAAGGCAACGCCCCTAAGGCTGCATGACAAGCTTTGGAACATGCTGCACCCTTGGTTTGGTGACTGCTTATATTGCTTCCGTGTGGTTTGCGCGACGCATGCAAAACATACACGCAAACCAATCAAAACAGAAAGACAAACAAACAAACAAACAAACAAACAGCTAGCAAGCAAACCACACCAAGAAGCAAGCAAGCAAGCAAACAAGCAAGCAAGCAAGCAAACAAACCAAACAACGCAGCAAGCAAGCAAGCAAGCAAGCAAGCAAGCAAGCAAGCAAGCAAGCAAGCAAGCAAGCAAGCAAACCAACCAACCAAACCAAACCAAACCAAACCAAACCAAACCAAACCAAACCAAACGAAGAAGGAAGCAAGCAAGCAAGCAAGCAAGCAAGCAAGCAAGCAAGCAAGCAAGCAAGCAAGCAAGCAAGCAAGCAAGCAAGCAAGCAAGCAAGAATACAAGAAAGCAAGAAAGCAAGCAAGCAAGAATACAAGAAAGCAAGAAAGCAAGAAAGCAAGAAAGCAAGACAAGAAAGCAAGAAAGCAATAAAGCAAGAAAGCAGCAAAGCGAGCAAGCAAAACAAAGCAAACCAAAGCAAGCAAAACAAAGCAAGCCCAACACAGCAAGCAAAGCAAACATAATAAATAATAACCAAACAAAAAGAAGGAAACAATCACACAAACACACACGCACACATATTCGAAAACAACATAAAACATCAACACCAGTTAGAAACAAACCACACAGTAAATAGACTTCTCTTTCCATGTGTATACATACTATGTGTATATATATATATACGTGCGTGTATAAGCAGAAACATGTGTGCGCGCATGCCAGCTTGACACCATGAACTGACTTATTCAAGCCATCCCAATGCTAGCACAAAACTGCAGGGTTTGAAGCGCGCTGGCAAGGGATAACTTGAACGATCTTGCCGAACGGGCTTGAACTCAAAGGCCACGACGACCGCCGGTAGCGTGCCAAAACCTGCCCCTGCGAGACCAGTTAGCTGCTAGCTTCAGCCCTTCATGGATGCCCACGTTGGCATGGCTTGTGGTTGCCATTTTCCACCACCTTGGCTCCCAGTGCGAACCAGCGACCCTGGTAGAAAATCAGAACCATTTGTTTTGGAAAAACTGACCTTGCGGACCCCCAAGAAAACAAAGGGTCCCGTGGCAACGATGCTCCGAAGCGACGCAAGGCTCCGGGCCGAAAGAAGGAGCCGCTTGCGACCGACCAAAACCCAACAACGTTTGCTTCTACATCAGGTGTGAATTTTCATCAGGACGCGTTGGTGGTCATGTACACGGGAACCAGAACTTGCGGTTGTCCAGGTGGCTTCCCAAGCTCAGGTGAACATGGTAACCAAAAACCCACACACCCTTGTAGACGCATAAGCCTTCGCGTAAGTCGGCGAGCCTGGCCCGGGCGGCGCGCTGCGGCCAGTCCCGCTGACAGGAGCAGCCTCCACGCCCCTCTGCAGCAGCAAACACCTCTGGATGCGACGTCATCGTGGCGTTTGCGGCGTGATCCCTTTTGTGTTACATTTGGTTCGGCTTGATGCCTACCAGTTGTTACAACATGTGTCAAACAAGTAAGGCATGAGAGTAAGGATTGATTTTTGGAAAAGCCCAGCCGTTGAAAGCCTGACCAACTTGTGATCAAAGTGTTCAAGGAATCAAGAATTGCGAGAGGAAACGGCCCGGGACCGCTGAATCGCCAAGAAACTCTGAGCACAGGGAATGCCGAAAAGCAGGGTGCATCTCTGGTTGGGGCTGGAGTGGTGGGGGTAGCGGGGGGGTTACTTTAGACGCGTTTCTTGTTTTGCCTAATTATTACTTCGGATACTTGTGGCTAGACAGGTGACTGTTATGAGTTTTGCCGCAACTTACCTAAGGCAGGAGGCATGAACCATTTTCCAGGCAGCTACACCACCTGTTGAAACTGTCAAGCTGAAAAAACGGGGAAACGCGTAGTTGTTGCGGCGTTCTGGGTTCCCTATTTTGACAAACGTCTGCAGGGTGGGTGACCTCGTTCCCAAGCCGCATCTGAAAAATGCCGGACCCCTAAACCACTATAGAACAGGGGAAGATTGTAGGGGAAAGTTGGGTACATATCCTTAATTGGCAATATGGGCTTGTCTTGGGTACATACCCTTAATTGGCGATATGGGTTTGTCTCAAGATGCCAAGCCAGCTCGGCTTCCCTTGAAAGCCACCCAAGGATCAACACAAGCACACCCCTGGGTCCCGAATAGCTTCGAAGCCATCGGATCCGCCGATCTGCCTGAAGGTCTCCAGGCGCGGCCGCGCAGCCTCTGCGGTGAGCGTCACCTCCCTGCGGCTCCACAGACGCTCTGCCACCGCCGCCAAGCGCGGCCACAGCGTGTTGCCCTGGTCGGAGCCTCGAAAGCTCAGGCAAAACGCGGCTTTCTACCTAGGTTTCTCTGAATTGGGGGGGTTGTGATTGGTTTGGGGGTTTGAATAGTTCTTGCGGGGCCGAATGGGAAACCACACCCTCACATCCAAGCCACCAACCCAAACCAACAAGAGGGAAGCTGATTTATGCAGAGAATGGGTCTCAGGGACTGCTGGGCGTGGTCTGAGACTACCTCGATTTTGGCTTGTGAAGGAAGAACACCACACCGAAACGGGGGGCTCTTCCTGGCAAACACGAGAGATGCAAACGCTCGCTGGAAATTGCGGATCCCGAGCCCCCGGCCATCCACCGTCTCGCCCCACATGCACGCTTCGCCTAACGACCCACGGCCGAGTCAAATTCACCGTGCTTCCACTTATTCAAAGTCTTGGTGCAGCACCGGATGTGGTTCTGACTGCAGCCCCCTACCCAAAAATAGAATAACATCAATAGACATCAGACCAAAGAAGCAACAAGCAAAACACATACACAAGAGTGACAGAAAAAGGTTCCTGAAAGAATACATGAAGCCGCCTGCTTAGGGGGATCCTCAGTTGTTTCTTTTTTTTTTTCACTGGCAGCTGGTGTGCTTGGGCCCTCTACGCGAATTTCTTCGAGCCTTCGAGCTTCGAGCTGAGGCCTCCCAAGACCAGATGGTGCTGATCGTTCGGGACGCCAGAGGTGGGGTCGTTCTGGTACATTCCTGCGTCGGACTGACCCGAAAGTCAATCCCGTGCTTGGTACTTGCCCATGTACTGGGGCCAAAAAAGCTCAAAGTGCCTCCTCACAAGGCACGCTGACCCTGGAAACGTAGCGGAGGTCCACAAAACTCACTGCGCATTTGTCTAGTGCGACCCTGGTAGCCCCCTTTGTGGGGCCGGGCCATTTTGGTGAGGAAACGACCAAACAGAAAGGGACAACGGGTTCCAGTGAACCGCTGGGTTGCCCCAGGGAACCTGGCCAAGTGATTTTCAACAAGACACCCATGATCTGAGCAAAAGCCAAGTCTGTCCTTTCCAGCCTTCCTGCAAATGATCCAGATACCTCAAGTCACTTCTCATGGTCCCGAAATCCTTGCCCGCACACAGGCAAGCGTCCCTATCCCACTCACGTCCCCAAGGAGATAACATTAACCGCGATTTCGCCGTGGCTATCTGCAACGCCAGCAAAGGGAAGCGACATCTCCATTCTTAATCCGTCGTCAGTTCGCAAAGACCCGCAGCGGGCATGACACCGAAGACTGGCCAAAAATATTGCTTCACGTGCTTCCTTACATTGAGGAACTGTGTGGATGACGTTTGTCAGTGGCATGAACAAAACACCCACTCGATTCATGAAAGCGCCGTGCAACCAACCACCTTATCCTCCCACTAATTTAATTTCGCATGGAACCTGCCAGAAGGTCCTTTTGAGAGGAACATTGCCTCTCGGGGCTCTCCGGTCAAGTTCATCGCCAAGTGGGTGGCGGGCATCCAATTCTTTTCTGGAAGCTGGCGGGCCCCTCATCAGCCAACAATGGGGAAAGCATAAATACGGCAAAACAAAGTCGAACAAGAAAGCGAGCTGCAGTAGGACCACTTACTGAAATGGCCAGCATGACCTGGTTTGGGGTAACGACTCACTCCGCGCTTCACAATCGCCATCCTGCGCGATGCTCGGCAACGTGCTCGCTCCCCTGATCGAGGCCGGGGCCAGCCCCAAGAGAGCACTGCCCGGTGTCCAGCGTTCACCACCTGACGGACCAGGTTCTTGTCTCGCCAGACCTGGCGCGACAATGGCCGTGAATGTTGCATCAGTTCTGCAATCGAAACTCCGCCAACATGGGTCAGGCTGGATCAGAGTCGGAGCCGGCAAGGACACATTCATCATCTCAAAACCGCACCCCGTTAGCTTCAAAAGCTTGGCTCCAACACTGCCGTGAATATGGTATGTGGAAGTCTCTGTTGGCAATCTCCTGTTGGGGGCCCCCGAATTTGTCTATATATATATATATGTGTGTGTGTGTATATGCACACACACATATATATATACATATGTGCGTGTGGCAAGTTACGCTAAATTCAAGTGCTTCGGACATCCTTCACATCCTCATGGAACGATGTATGGAAGTGGGCACGGAGGTTTTGTTAGGAATGTTGTCTTCCCAAACCTCCGATTGTCAGCTTCCATGGTGGTTGAATGGGGGGGGGGTACAGCAGGTGAGCCCCCAAATGCTTGCCCTCCCTCCTTCTTTGGCAGGGGCTATGCGCAATAAGACGGCCATCCGACCCTTGAACCGCACGTCTACGCAGTTTTGCCAAGTTGTCACTTTACTTGGCTGTGGGTCAAGAATAGGTACCCAAAATGGCACCCTGGTAAATGGACATGGCTAAAACCCGTGGTCCCCTGGTGGTTTATTTTTGGCCCATGCCCACTTCACAAGAAGATCGCCTGGATCACAGCATCCTCTGGCAGCGAGGCCGATGAGAAGGCCTCGTCCCAGAAAATGGCCTCACGGATCGATCCGACTCCCCGCCAAGAGGCGACTCTGCTTGCAGGTGCCGAAAAACGGTTTGGACGTGTGCTTGATGACTTGTGATCCCAAAACGGCCAGGGTAAGCCAAGTGCGGCAATGCAAATGGCAAAAATTCAAGGCTATAGGTGAGCATGGTGAGGAAAAGCACAAGGACAAAGGATTCGGCTTTCATGGATTTCGAAGGGTCTGTATGGTCTCTGGTCTCTGGAGTTCTGGATGCGAAGTTGCATAGCTGGCAGGTGCATGGAATGGAAACCTCCCGTTTGCGTCTGTCTCGTTGATTTGCGGTGAAGTAGCTAACAAATTCCGGCTCATTGGGTTGTCGCCGAGAACGCAAATAAGCTTACCCTGGATGTACAAAATCCGAGCCATGCACCAGTTGAAAGGTGGTTTCCCATAATTCAATCCATCCCAACTGATGCCGGATTTTGTCCGTCCCCTGTGTTTACCAGCCCGTGAGCATTTCCCGCTATTTCGTTTTGGTCCATCAAGCAGGTGTGTTAAAGTGCCCGCTGAGTAGGCTTAAAGAGCCCAAAACGTCCTCGTTCGGTGCCGTGATGGACTCTGGAATGTCGAACGTGGGCCGAGATGGAAGGCGAGGAGGACGGCAGCTTGCCGCGGACGCGACTCAGTTGCAGACCCTGAAACCAAAGGATTGCCCAAGGTTGACAAGATGGCTGGTGTGGGGAACCCTCTCCCGCAGGGGATCTTCCGTCACAGCTTCATGATGAGCCAGCTCGGTCAGGGTTCAAGTTCATGCTTCTGGAACAGCGAACATGGCGTTTCGCGGGCCTCTTTTCTCCAGCTGGATAAAAGCAAATCCTTCGAGGAGGCGTCTAAGAGGACGCCCCACGTCGTTTTGGATGTAGACCGCCCCATGTAGACCGCCCCCTGAAGCGGCCGGCGTCGGACGAGTGAAGTAAGGAGGGCCGTCATGGTCGACCTGGAGCAGGCTGAGATGCCGAATGGCGGTGATGAGGAACTCTGGGGGGGAGGGCGAGGAGAAGGAGCGCTTTGACAGAACGGGGTCGTGGTGAAGGTTCCATACGGCCGGGAGAGAGGCACAAGGTGAAGCACCTGGCACGGTGATGCGGGTGGTCGAACGCTACGGCCAGGTGCTGGTTGTCATGGTCATGATGAAGCTCATGGGCGAGTGCTCTGGCCTGCCGAGTACAGCAAAAGAACACCTAGGAGGCAAAGTTTTCAGGGCTAGTTTCTATAGAGGGTTGAATGGGGGGAACATGTCCCCTGTCAAAGGGGATCCTTCACTTTTTGAAAAGGGGGTTTCATCTAGGTTGACGAATCCATTTGGCCATACGTCTGGAACAAATAGATATATTTCGAGCAGTAATATAGGTTCTTGAACCCTCAAACTACACTTCAAAAAAGAGGGACAACTCGCCCAACATAATTTGGAGGCATCCCACTTTGCCGAAGCATCCCAATTTGCCAGGGTGGGTTGCGGGTCCAAATGTCCTTTAATGTTGACCCCGGATGAACAAATCCCGGTTTGCTAATATGGGGCTGTTCCCCTCCAAAAGTGATAAATCCCCAGTAAAAACCAGGGACACCCCCATATTTATCAACCGGGGTGTATTAATCCGGGGTCAGCATTAGAACCGGACAAATGACATACCCCGAACCGCCAATGGATTGAAGGCCGCCTGGCGGTTCAGCTTTTTGGCCCTCTGAAAGATGGCGCCCACGAAGAGCGAGAAAAGGCGATGGGGGCCTCTAACGCTGCGGCCTCCGGTAGGCAGGCGGGTTGCGGCAGGCGGTTTGTGGCTTGCGGCCTCTAGGTTGGGGGGGGGGGAGTGTGGGGATGTTGACACCCCATCTTAAGCATATATGATTATATGCTTTGGTCCATCGGAAGGTCTGCGTGTTAAAGTGAGAAATAACACATGAAGATGGAAGATACTAAAAACAACAAAGATGAGGGGTTGCAGCCCACCTGACCCTGATTCGGTTTACTTCGGTTTGAGGTTGACCAAATCACTATAGATCACCAGCCGAAATTCAGGAATCCCCGGCAAGCCCTTCATCATTGCTGAGCTTCATGCTGCCCCCAGGCTAGCTCGCTAGAACTAGTGCAAAGAGACATGCTTGTGGCAGCTTGTGGCGTGGGAAATGACTCCTTCCGCGATACCCCGCCTCGCTCGTCCGTGACCTCCAAGTGAGCCCAGCATTCCATGGGCACCTCATCGCTACCTTTCGCGTCATCCGCCCGGCGGAAAAAGAACACCTACAGCCGGGCAGCCCATATGCTTTTTGGGGCGCAAGGAGCCTGACTGGATGATTAGAGGCTGGCAGCATCCTCCGAGGATCCAAAGAAGGACTGGACATTGACCACTCCTCGCCCATCCGCCCATTTGCTTTGGATGGATCCACGAAACACACCAGTTGGGATGGACAACGCCCCATACTGCTTGAAAACTAACTGCCAGCTAGCGCCGATCGGCACGGATTTCGTCCATGGATATATCCATCCGACGGGGCCCCGCGCCTAAGTGCAAATAGCCGTCTCGGAAAATCCCGGAGGTCCACTCTCGCAGCAAACCCTCCAAGAAGTCGAAGGTCTCCTGCGCGGCGATTCAATGACTTGCAGGGGCTCGGGGCTCCCTACATTTCCCGAAACATCGCGCCACTTCAACAGGAAAGCCGCGTCAAAGCCTAAAGGTTGAAAACCGCAAGGCCCGACAGGCGATGTTTAAACCACAATGGGTTTGCTTCGCAGTTGTTGCTTGTTCATGTCTGTGGGCAAAGCCTGCTTAAAGTCAGCAGCCGGGAGCTTAAGTACAACCCCAATGGCAAGCCAAACAAACAGAAAAACACAGAGGTGCAACCTGGAACAGCAGGCGGGAACGAGTTCCTGCAGCAAGGCCAAAACGTGGCGAATGCATCTTGGGAAAGAGCAGCCCACAATCTGGCATTCCTTCTTCAGTAAATCTCGAGGCCCCTTCCCTTCCCCAAAGTCCATCTTGGGTGGCTGTTTTGAAGCTAGCAAAGGAAAACCAAACGAAAACCGCCCACAAAGACAAACACTATTAGTGACTAATGTTGACCCCGGAATAATCAACCCCTCCCAGTAATAGGTGGGGGGTATTCCCCTCCAACAAAAAAATGAACCCCCACTTTTAGCGGCGACACTCCCGATCGAAATCAATCACAAACGTGTTAATCTGGGCTTGTCATGAGTACATTAGGGCCTAATGACCAAGGGCCATCTAACTCTCCAGCGAAGCCTTCCATTGGCCGATGCGTGCCCTGGAAACATTTTTGCATTGACAGCTTCTCTTTAGCACCACGGGGAAAACCACTAAATGGGTGTTTCTCAAAATTGGGACGTGAAGCCGAGCCCAGCCAGCCCGGCGCCACGCGCCTGGGTGGGCTTGAAGGCGAGGCGCCGGCTCCGTGCCAGGCAGGCGGCGTCGAAGAGCTCGGGGTGGGACTTGCTCCAAGAGCCTCGGACGCATCGCTGGGCTGAGTGATGCACAGGCGTGGCCTTTCAGGGGTACCCAAGGGAAACCAAAAGGAAACCAACCATTTTGAAGGGAAAATGTTTTTGAGACAAACGAACCCTGAACCCTCAAACTAGCCTTGAACATTACGGTAAGATGTGTTTTTTAAGGGGGTAGTTGAGGGTCCAGGTCTGTCGAGTGGGACGTCCGCCTCCAAAGGTCCACAGCAACGAGTTCACATATGGACATACACAAGCAGCCCAAGCCCTGACTTAAACAACCTCCCTTGGGTCGGTGATACTTAAACAGCCGCAAAGGAGGTTGGCAAAGGCAAACGCCTTTCTTCCGCCATGGTTTAAACCACCTGTGTGCTCCCATTGCTCCCAGATTAGCACAACCATGTTAAGCACCTTGGCCCAAGCCCCCTAACGAGCTGGTTTAAACCTCTGCGCGTGGCTCAAAATGAATGCCAGGGCGAAGCGAGATGTTTGGGCGTCGCACATCGTTTGGGAAGAATGCTTACACGACTGGGCTGAGGGAAACTGCCACTCCTCTCGCCAACCAAGCGTCCAGGTGTAACCCCAAAAGCACGAAACTCCATGTATAAGAAATATCTTAAACAATACGTTCATACAAGTTAACTTGTTGCATTCACTCGCTGAGGCTGCAAGGCCCAGTATACCACCGCATTGGACTGATTGGTGGAGTGGCACCCAGGAGGCTGCTAGGAACTAATATATGGGCATATTAAGAATATCCAAGTTAATAGCCCATATAGTATCAAGCTCGTTACCAAGTAAACCAGCACCTCACAACCAAAATTTGAAACTCAAGCCACTCATGCCACTCACGCTGCTGACTCCAACAAAACCAAATTATTCATCTAACAATCCAAGCCCCGTATACAGCCAGCAAACAAGTCCCCAACAGCCACCCACACATCACCTCACACATCTCAGACCCCACAAGCACATCACAAGAGATCAACCTGTGATCACCCCAAGGTAGACATTTCCCCAACGTTTGGGCAACCCTGGGTTTAGGGAAAGGGGTGGTCGGGACCCCAACAACCACGGGTTTGAGGGCAATCAACGCATGGAACACCGTGGGGCATGGCTGCAAAAAAGCGAGCGGCTCACATGGCCGGGCATGTCAAACTCCGGAATCACACGGATGCCCCTGAGGTAGGCGAAGTCGACTACGTCCTTGACGTCCTTCCACGTGTACCTCCCAACGGCAACCAAGGCTGCAACTAGGGGGCAGCCCCATTTCAGAGGCATCCTTCACGTTGACACCCGGCGCCCAACACCCTCAACCCCCCACCACTTCCCAAGTAAGTTGGCAAACACACAGAACAGATCCTGGTTACCGCTATGCATACGCGGCACCAAGTCTGGGCAAATTACCAAAATTCACAGCCTAAAACCGGGGTCTCTGGATTCCAAAAAAGGACACGGAGTAACCCCGGTGAACATTTGGGAACCTTACGGGTGACGGCGAAGTGCTCCCAGCGCCTCTCAGTGGCACTCCAAGCGCCCTTCTCGGCCAGCTCGGGGTGGGAGCGGCTGGGCATCGAAAAGGACTCGTCCTGGGAAATCCGCATGCGATCAATCATCCGAGTGGTCGATTCTCATAGCCAATCCTAAAACCAGTTGATTCCCTAAACAGCTTTTTTTTCATGAGAACCTTTGGTTTCACAGATGCCCTTGGTTGATTCCCACCCACCATGGTCCTCTGTGAGGTGCCAGTGGAGGACGTTGAGCTTGGCGAAGGACCTCTGGTGGGTTCTCTTCAATTACGAAGAAGGGGGCCGTCAATTTTTAGAAACTCCTGGCGGCAAGCCCGCTTCCATACAACACATTAGACATCTTAGGGGGTGGGAGTGGGCATCAGAGTTGGGCCAAGCTCTTGTTTCAATCAACCGCCTTTGGGGCTTCTTTCAAGGGGGCCCAGTGTTCGGTACGACGATGGCGCGTGTCTTAAAATAGGACCCGCAAAACAAGAGGTTTCTTCTTGGTTTCCCTTTCAAAACAACCACGAAGAAAACAAAAATGTTCGCCTCTAATTCTCGGTTTGGATGGATGATTTGGAGCTTAGGGGCGGTTTCCCACTTGCATGCTACAAGAACCAGGGGTTCAAACCCCAAACCACCAATTCAAACCACAAGCACGTACTACCCGAAAAAAGGAAGACAAAACAACCACCGCGTACAACAAACAAACACAACCGCACACACACACACACACCAAGGCGTCACGCCTACCAACAAGCTCAGCTAAAAGTGGCAGCAGAAAGGCAAGAAGGGACGTGGGGAGTCGACCCATGGGTCCCCCCCTGAGTAAAAGGTTGATCAGCGATTGTAGGTTTAACGGAAAAACCATTGTTTACACAATTTGTCTAAGGGACGATTCAGTCATACTAAAGACTAGTCATGCCTGGTCTTTTTGCCGGGCCGCATGGCCGTGATGGTCCTCTTCAGGCGCGGCACTGTGAGAAAGTGCCGGGCCGTGTCGATCAGCAATCCCCGGTGTGGGAAGCGAGGGGAGTCCTCGTCCAAATCCCCGCCACTGGTTGAAAAAACTGAGAGTCAGAGTCTGAATGTATAAACCCCATGTGAGCATGTGTAGGAACCTGGTATGAACCCAAGCAGTTTATTGGATGATCAGGCTTGTGGCATGGGTCCTGGATCCGGCAGGGCGACTCGACAAAGTAGCTCTCCTGGCACGTGCGCGAGCCTCACTATTTGGCTCTTCTCGGCTAAGTAAGGGACCTGCGAGCAAAAAGTTGCAACGTGTCCAAATTCAACAAGTATGGGAAAGCCAAAGAACCGGAACTGGGATTTATAGACAGCCAGCTTGTAGCTCTGTCTGCATGGGCCAACAAAATGTACTCCCGAACCTGAACCCTGGCAGGAAATGGGAATGTATTTGATAAAACACCCAGGAAAAGAGCTTTCTTTTCGAGGTTGTCCTGTTTTAGCGGGCAAGGGCCCCACCCCAAGAGGCTATTTAGGCCTATTACTCGCTGTGGGATCTGGTTCCTGTTGGGCTTTTTGTTGGGGACTTGGAAGCCTGTTCACCCTTACTACCCCTAGTTGGTAGTATTTGGTGGTTTTGACTTTTGGCTCCGCACTTAGTTTCAAAAGGAACCACAAACCACCAAAGGGGTACGTTGAAGAAGTATGTCCGACCCTCTTCAAAACACGCAGCTTTCTTAACTACATATACCGAACGACCGCAACTCGGGGGTGGGCCATGGCTTCGGATTCCTCCGTAAAGTTGAAGTCAATGAGCTGGGAGAGGCTCTCCAAAGCCCTCAGCGCGCCCCAGGTCGTCTCAGAGGAGATCACCACTCCTGGTCCACACTGCTGGGCTGAAAGCGTGTGAACTAGGGCCTCCGCAAAAAAAAGGAAAGTAAACCAACAAGTGAAGTACCAATCGAGCGCCCAAGTCCTGCGAGTCTGGGACCTCTTGGGGGGGGAATCTGCAGGCTTCATCCCGTCTGGAAATCAAGCATCAGTGACGCTTGGTTCAGCACCATGGGCACGCTCATATGTTTTCTCCCCAGCTCTGTTCCATACGCGCAGGCATCACGCAACTTGGAAAAGGCAGCAGGAATTCCCTGACCTGCCGGGGGCTAGCCGTGTTGTCATGAACCCCGGATGGTGCAGCCCCAATCAATAACCCGTACCTGTATAGATAGGGTTTGTCTCAAGATAGGGGTGCGCCAGGGTTTTCCAGTTGGTGTCCTTGCAAGGCTATCCCCAAATCGTACCCTCAAAAAACATATATATATATATATATATTTATAAACATGCAAAAATAAATGAACAAATAGCAAACAAATAAATATGCATACCTGGACATTCTTGTGGTACACAATTTTCGCCGCTTCATGAAACAGCAAAATAAAACAGCGCTTTGCGCAAAATTGGGCGGTTTCTTCAAGAATTGCCGCTTCAGAAAAGCCACATGGAAAACCGCCGGTTCAAGCGTACATTAACCTCTCGGTTTTGCCCTTCATCTCTGCTCTGGCTCCTACTTTGCCCGCAGCGGCTTTCGGCTGGCCTGGGCCTTGGCTCGATACCTCCGGTGAAGGGCTCGAGCTTTCACGAGGTAGAGTTGCAACACCCGCTTCAACAATTGCTTATCTTGAAATCTTGCCAACTAGGTCTTCGTTTTGCTCACAGCTGTGTATGAGCGGGTTTTTGATGGCACCTTGCCTCAGGAGAGCTTTGATTTCAACAAGTGTGTGCACTTGTGGCTTCATGGCCGACCCTGCAAATTTGAGTTCCCGAAGAGCGACACCTGCCAGTCGCGCATAAGGCTGCTGGAACTTGCAGCGCAGGCTTGGTCTGACCAAAGCCCATGCTGATATAGAGCACTTGCGGGAATTTAGCAGCAATCTCGCTTCCACGGCGCATCATGCGCAAGAGTGGGTGATCAAGTGGCGCTTGAATAAAGCCGCCAATGATGGCAACCAACCATTCCAAAGTAAGCATAACATCAGAGCCTCAGAGCCCTGGACATTAAACCATGGATAGCTATCCTTCGATTCAAGGCGAAACACAAACTTGTGATACTCAGCCATCACGCGGGCCCATGTCTCAGCTGGGTCACTTCAAAATAGGATATGAAGACCCAAAGAAACGCTCACAAACAGTGTCAATTGAACTGGCTGCATAGTTGGCCTTACTATTCCTCAGGGAACTTGCGCAGATCAATTTTGGGGACTGTAAATACAACGGAATCCCTGGGGGGTCAATTTCTGAGGCACTCAATTTCTTTTTGAAAGGTAAATCAATACTCAATTCCTGAGAGGAGTTCTGAGGGCGGTCAGTCATAGAATCCTGAGGGGGGCGGTACCAAAAACCCCTACGTGAGTCCATAATTAACAATTGTTTTTGTGTCTGCTTGAAGCTCCTTTTCAAAGCAATTAATTTACAAATCCCTGACAGAGCCAAGTATCAGGTAGCTATGTATACTAGTTTTGTTCTTGCGTTCTCTTGGTCCACGAAAGCCCCTTTGCCAAATGCCAGAGAAAGAGTCGCATTGTGACATTGGGAGCGCAAGTTTTGAGAGGAGTGCTGGGGGGGGTCAGCACTAAAGTCCTGAGGGGGGGGTGAGTACTCAACCACACAGAAAAGTGAGGGCGATTTCTCACAGTTGGTCTTTGTAGGGCCAAAGAGCGTAAACACAAGCATCAACCTCCTCGTCATCCTCGTGAACCGCGGAGACTGATTAGGGAAACTTCTTCCGCCCTGGTCACTTGCAAGCGGTCTTTTGAGGGATCCAAGAAAACAAGGAAAAAAGGGAAATGCATCATGGTTGACCTTGCTGTTTCTGCACAGCACAAGGTCTTTCGCCGGTACTTGTCGGGAAGTTGAAGGCGGCTAACACGCACCACGTGGCTGGTTCCAACCCCACTGGTTGAGCATTGTGTCCTTCGACACGAACTCTCCTTCAATGATCAACTCATTCGATTCCATTTCCATACGGAGTGGCTCGCATGCCTGCTGGAAGGACCCTAAGATCAGGCGTTTCAGGCTACGGCTAATGAAAGCAAAGGGTCTCTGCAGAATCCACCTCACAGATCTTCTCAATGATTTTTTTGTGCCCCCTGCCATGCAGTCAGCAATGATGGCTTCGCTTCTTTGAAGGTCCCGTTTACCACCTTCGAGGCTTTGATCGCCTCGCCGACGCCGACACCCCGCTTTGGCTTATTCTTGTTGGCGACAGCATCGTCCATGTAAGGGATGTCATTGTTGTTTTCTTCAGGTTCCTGAGAGTTCCCTTCATCATCTTCTGACTCACACTCATCCCAACGGCAGCGTGGCTGTGCTATCGAGTTTGCTCTTGAGATCAACCACATCCGCCTCAGCAAGAGAAGTGGGAGATGCTTCCCTGGCCAAAGGCGTGGGCTCTGCAGGCCAGGAACCTTTGCCCAAGGGAGTCTCTTTGGCAGGGGCGGTGTGCGCTTGGGTCGCAGCGAAGCTGGGCAAGCTGTAGACGGCCTGGGAAGGGCATACCCGTAGACCATAATCGCTTAACTGTTTATACCATCATGTTGCTGTTGCTCCGGGGCCAAGACACAGACTTCGAAGGACTGGGCGGAGCAAGTGGCTGAGCGTCCGTCCACTCTTTCTCTTCTTGTTCTTCCGATTCTTGAGTTCCTGGTGTTCCTTCTGGATAGCCGGTCTTGCAGCCCAGCAAGGAAAAGGCAAGGCGCTTCGAGTTCCATCAGCGTGGCACTGCTCCGCCAATTCCTCCGCACCTTTCTTGCCAACCCACGGATGCGCAGGCAAGGTGCCCCGTTGCTCGACAGTTCCTCAGCGGCCACCTGAGACTCCACCTTCCTCAGCGGCCGGATGCTATTCCCTCCCTTTCCAATCTTCAGGTTTGAAAGGGACCAGGGGTGACGGAGAGCTCTTTTTTTTGCCGTGTTTGGGGGGTCTAGCGGATCTTCGGCGCCAGGATGTTGTGCGCGAAGCCGTTTGAGCCACCAAAGCCGGTCAGAAAGGGCAAACGGGCAAAGCCACGGCCTAAAATGTTGCGAATTTCTGGTTCGGGAAAGATCGCCGTTTGGCCGCGAAAGATCGCCGGTTGGTCACCCAAGATCGCCGTTTCATTTCTCGCACTTTTTGAAAAGTTGAGTGTTTGCGCGAAAAAACGCATAGAATGTATTTGGCGAAGCTCTCCGTGGCCCCTGGTCCCTTTCAAACCTGAAGATTGGAAAGGGAGGGAATAGCATCCGGCCGCTGAGGAAGGTGGAGTCTCAGGTGGCCGCTGAGGAACTGTCGAGCAACGGGGCACCTTGCCTGCGCATCCGTGGGTTGGCAAGAAAGGTGCGGAGGAATTGGCGGAGCAGTGCCACGCTGATGGAACTCGAAGCGCCTTGCCTTTTAATTGCTGGGCTGCAAGACCGGCTATCCAGAAGGAACACCAGGAACTCAAGAATCGGAAGAACAAGAAGAGAAAGAGTGGACGGACGCTCAGCCACTTGCTCCGCCCAGTCCTTCGAAGTCTGTGTCTTGGCCCCGGAGCAAAAGCAACATGATGGTATAAACAGTTAAGCGATTATGGTCTACGGGTATGCCCTTCCCAGGCCGTCTACAGCTTGCCCAGCTTCGCTGCGACCCAAGTGCACACCGCCCCTGCCAAAGAGACTCCCTTGACCAGGTTCCTGGCCTGCAGAGGCCACGCCTTTGGCCAGGGAAGCATCTCCCACTTCTCTTGCCGAGGCGGATGTGGTTGATCTCAAGAGCAAACTCGATCGCGCAGCCACGCTGCAGTTGGGAGGATGATGAGTGTGAGTCGGAAGATGATGAAGGGAACTCTCAGGAACCTGAAGAAAACAACGATGAAATCCCTTACATGGACGATGCTGTCGCCAACAAGAATAAGCCAAAGCCAGTCGGCGTCGGCGAGGCGATCAAAGCTTCGAAGGCGGTAAACGGGACCTTCAAAGAACCGAAGCCATCATTGCTAACTGCATGGCAGGGGGCGCCAAAAAACATTGAGAAGATCTGTGAGGTGGATTCTGCAGAGACCCTTTGCTTTCATTAGCCGTAGCCCGAAATGCCTGATCTTAGGGTCCTTCCAGCAGGAATGCGAGCCACTCCGTATGGAAATGGAATCGAATGAGCTGATTATTGAGGGATAGTTCGTGTCGAAGGACACAATGCTCAATCAGTAGTGGGGTTGGAACCAGCCACGTGGTGCATGTTAGCCGCCTTCAAGTTGCCGACAAGTACCAGCGAAAGACCTTATGCTGTGCAGAAACATTAAGGTCAACCATCATGTGCTTCCCTTTTTTCCTTGTTTTCTTGGATGCCCCAAAAAGCTGCTTGCAAGTGACCAGGGCGGAAGAAGTTTCTTTAATCAGTCTCCGCGGAACCACAAGGATCATGACGAAGTTCATGCTTGTGTTTACTCACTTTTCTATGTGATTGAGTACTCACCCCCCCCCCTCAGGACTTTAGTGCTGACCCCCTCTCAGAACTCCCCTCAGAACTTGCGCTCCCAATGTCACAATACGATTCTTTCTCCGGCAAACGAAAGAACAAACATAGTATACATAGCTACCTGATACTTGGCCCTATCGGGGATTTGTACATTATTTTCTTTGAAAAGGGAGCTTCAAGGAGACGCGAAAAACAATTGTCAATTATTTGATGGTTGGCCCTATTGCTTCCCGTGCACTTTCTCATTTGGCTTCGGGGGGCTCAAGTAGGGGTTTTTTGTACCTCCCCTCAGGATTCTATTGCTGACCCCCTCAGAACTCCCCTCGGAAATTAAATGCTGACGGTATAGTACTGTCTCAGAAAGTGAGTACTGATTTCCCCTTCAAAAAGAAATTGAGTGTCTCAAAAATGGAGTACTGACCCCAGAAATTGAGTACGGGATTCCGTTGTCCCAACAGTCCCCAAACTTGATCTGCGCAAGTTCCCTGAGGAATAGTAAGGCCACCTCACACCCTTCTTTGAAGTGACCCAGCTGAGACATGGGCCCGCGTGATGGCTGAGTATCACAAGTTTGTGTTTGCCCATTTCGCTTCTCCCCTCGCCTTGTGCGCCATCTGAATCGAAGGATAGCTATCCATGGTGCAATGTCCAGGGCTCTGAGGCTCTGATGTTATGCTTACTTTGGAATGGTTGGTTGCCATCATTGGCGGCTTTATTCAAGCGCCACTTGATCACCCACTCTTGCGCATGATGCGCCGCGGAAGCGAGATTGCTGTTAAATTCCCGCAAGTGCTCTATATCAGCATGGGCTTTGGTCAGACCAAGCCTGCGCTGCACGCAGGCTATGAGTTCCAGCAGACTTACGCGCAACTGGCAGGTGTCGCTCTTGGGGAACTCAATTTTGCAGGGTGGGTCATGCCACAAGTGCATTCTTTCAACCACACACTTGTTGAAATCAAAGCTGTCCTGAGGCAAGGTGCCATCAAAAACCCGCTCATACACAGCTGTGAGCAAAACGAAGACCTAGTTGGCAAGATTTCAAGATCAAAAGCAATTGTTGAAGCGGGTGTTGCAACTCTACCTCGTGCAAGCTCGAGCCCTTCACCGGAGGTATCGAGCCAAGGCCCAGGCCGGCCGAAAGCCGCTGCGGGCAAAGTAGGAGCCAGAGCAGCGATGAAGGGCAAAACCGAGAGGCGAATGTACGCTTGAACCGGCGGTTTTCCATGTGGCTTTTCTGAAGCGGCAATTCTTGAAGAAACCGCCCAATTTTGTGCAAGCAAGGCTCTGTTTTAATTCGCTGTTTCATGCAGTGGCAAAAATTATGGTCCATGGCCACTCGGCCACGCACCTGTAGTGCTAGGAGCGAAAAAGGGCAGGAGGGTGGGAGAGGCGCATGCAGGGACGGAAATGATGCCGTCAACAGGAACGGGCCCGGGCCATGACAACTGAGAGCATGCGATGTGACATGGCACGCCCGGCGCTTCCCAATCAAGAATCGCCGCTTCCCTCACAAGATCGCCGTTCCAAAGCAAAACCTACTTGTGCTTAAACAGGCGGTTTTTTTGCACCCTTTGGAAGGTGGAGGTATGTATGCAATTTCACAACCCTTTCCCCTGAGACCTGCCTGCCCTCTGCCCGCCGCCTTCTTCGGAGACCTCCAAGTCGTAGGACTCATCCACCCCTAAGCTCAGCTCCGCCGCCAGGTCCTGCTCTCCGCCGGGCGAGCGAGGAACCCTCGCCGTCGTTGATGCTTTTTTCTTCGGATACGGCGTGCGAAAAAACGGACCAACAAGGATAATGACATGGGGAGTTCGCATCTGCGCCACTTCACACCCCAAATTCAGACCAAATCCGGGCAATCATATTTAGCTAACCTTACAACTCATACTGGAGGATACCCAGGTGCTGGAAAGTAACATGGGACCTCCCCAAAAAACAGAATGCTCATTGGTTTCCATTAAAATTCAAGCCTCACCCGCAGCGCCCTCAAAAACTAACATGGTAAACCAAGTCATGTCTAGAGGAATCTCCTTTACGGGGAAGGGTGATCCTGGAAGGGTAATTAATACCCCATCTTGGACAAATTACTTTCCATTATGTTGCTTTACTTTGAGTTTGCTTCCAATTGCCCCACATCCCTTCGAATAATCCGCCCGCTCTTGGAGAAAGCTCTTTTTGGGAACCTCTTTTTTGTGTTCCGTTCGTTCGTTTGTAGGGGAGTCCCCCTACCTCGCCAATAAAGCAGCCCAGGTCACTGCAGAACCATGTTCATTGCAAATTCAATTGCTCAGGCTACTACGTCAACTGTAAACAGGAGACACTCCTTTCAGGCGCGCGTTCATATTCAATGCCGGTTGCAAGTCCAAGATGCGTAAAGTATCCTGCGAGTGCAATAATGTTCATTCAGGATTAGGTCTTGGGATGTAGTGAGCGCGTGCGAAAGTGCCCAGCCCAATCAGGGTCCTTGTGGACTGGTGAATTTGATGCAAACAAAATGCGACTTGATACAGAGCACCGTGAAATTCGCCCTCAAACTGGCCCACCCCAGGCCTTCATGTGAACATTTGCAGGGAAGTAACATGGAAGACATGGAAACTGGCAGTCCAGCCGTGCCAAACCACGTGGCGCTCATTTTGCGGCTTGGGTCTCGACCGGGCCCCCCAATAAAATGCTGAGCCTCAGATAGGGGGGAGAGTTCTATCAAATCCCCATTGAATTTCCCGCCATGGGACGAGAAGCACTCTTTGTTTAAGTGCTTGATGTTGAAAGAGACCCCCCCGTCCCAAAAACAAGAAGCTCGAAGCAACTGGTCAAAGGGAAGACCCAAAGCAACCCCCTCCAAAACAAAAAGAGGTTCCCCCCGCCCTGCGCAAACAATGAACCCCCCCCCCCCAAAAGAACAACAAACATAAATACATGAAATCTGGCAGGTGGATGGGTTTCGCGTCTGCCCGTCCTCGACCTGCACCTTGGTGATGCTCACGTCCCTGAGCCTGGGTCGCTGACTCTTTCGAGGTTCGCTTTTATAGAAGCTGTCTTGGACAAATGCATACATCACCAAAAGCAACGGGCCAAACAAATCGGGCAAGAGAAACCTGGGCAAAAGTCCGGGCAACATCACCCGGGCACAAAGTAAGGCTTCCTTTTTTTGAAGTGGTCCCCAAACCATCGTCTCTATGAATCAAATGGGACAACTGTTCCGCGGTTCGCTTTGATGTTCAGCTTCTTGCCCCCCCCCCTTTTTGTTTTTTCCTTTCGGGGGGGGGGGGTACGGGGGCTGGGGGGAAAAATCCAGATCAAAACATTAGCCTTTGACATTTGATCTAAAACAACATCTGACTGTTTTGTATTGCCCTTTCATGTCCAGCTTGTTTCTCTTTTTGTGGGGGGGGATTCCCAGATGAAAACATTAACCTGTTAGCTAAACTTAGGACTTGGCAATGCTAAATTAAGCGCTGGGAATCGGAGACTAAGTGTTGGCAATTCCAAAATTAGAAGTGACAGTGGCAATACACAAGTAGGTATTGGCAAGTCAAAGTTGAACCCAGACACCCCCCCCCTTTTCAATTTTCCACCGACTGCAGAGAGGCCCTGCTGGACTGTCAGACTGACCCATATTATGTCGCCAGCGAGGAATCGGGTCCATGGGCCGTGCCCGGGCCTGGTCCCGTTTTCGCCACTCAGATCCGCGGCGGATCCGTGCAGGTCAGCACCGTCGGGTCATATTTCCCCAGTGTCACGTGGCAAGGCCACATCTCACAGGCGTCCTTGCGGTCAACGTCCCTCAAAGAACTTCTGCACTGCACCCTTTCCGCGGGTGAGATCCAGCAGCTTCGACTTCAATCACATCGGCTCGCCATTGAGCTTGGATCGAAGATCGAGGCAATGATTCGCATCAGTGACCCTACGTCACCAAGGAAGTCAGTCCAGGATAGGGATCTTCATCGTCAGTTAACTTTCCGTCCGGTGACCTCGCTGGTTCAATTCTCACCCGCATGCCTTCAAGGCAACATCAGTGAGGCGTTCGATCATGACCGGTGCCTCGGAAACCTGGAGGGTTGAAGCCGAAAGGGCAAAGATGTAGCTGGTGGCATCCGGAACTTGCCGCAAAACCGGCATGGCCTCCAGCAAAGCCAACACTGCCTCCCCCTGGTGGGCATTGGCGCATGCCTCCAGCGCCGCGTTGCAGCAAATTCTGTTTGGAGGAAGGTCGCTCGACTCCCGAAAGAGCTCCAGCGACCTTTGCCATCGCCTTCCCTTCTGGCAAGCACTCATGGCAGCGCTGTAGGTGACCGCGTCAGCAGGCGCCTGAAACAAGGCCAGGGCCACCGGCCACGCTGCTTCACTCGCCGTGATCGCCGAGTTGCGGCTTACGCAGTCTGACTGCAAATTCCGCCCCGGGCCGTGCCTGAATAACGCGAAGGTCGCCGCCTCCCAAGAGCCAACACGAGCATAGGCGTCGATCACCGCGTTCAGGGTCACCTCCATTTGCCAAAGCCCCTTGGAAAAAAATCCAACGTGGTTCCAGGAGTGATGGCTTTCCTTCAAAACAAACAAAACAAGCGGAAAGATGAAAACATGCTCAAACGAACGGAAGGTCACAGCATCGGCAACCACAGCTGCGGCTTCCATGCCCCATACGATACCAAACGCCATGTGCCAAGAGCTGCTCTTGCCACACGCGCTGATCACGGCATTGTGACCTGCGCACGTGGCATGCTAGCCAAACAGCTTAGTTTTCGCTGCCTGTAAAAACCGTTGAATAGACAACCCCCCAAAACAACGCAACCACAAAAACACAAGACAAAAAGCAAAACGACATGCCCAGAACAGCGAAGTGACAGATCCGGTCCGGACGAATGCGCTTTTCCCGCATGTGGTCCAGAAGTTCCAGGGCGACATGCCCCTGCGCTGCTTTCTCGCAGGCGCTGATCGCAGCGCTGAAGCTGACCTTAGCCCCAAGAACCTCCGTGTTGGTGGGTGTCCGAAGCGAGCCAAAAGGGCGCCTGCCATGTTGGATCATTATAGGGTTTCCCTAAGTTGGGCCTGTCTACCCCGAAATGAACAGTGATCCCCTTTTGGGGCCTTGGCAAAAACTGCGAACCCAACATGGGGCAAGCAAAAGGTCAAAACTAGCTAAGCGCTTTTGCACCCGTCGAAAATCACATCTTTGATTCTGGGCCTTTTCTAGCGAAGCTCGCAATGCAAACAAAGTCAGTTCAACAGAGATCCCGACATGTCGTACTTGCCCCCGTCAAATCTACCTCAGCTTTCATTTCAAACCGGCTTTGGGCTACTAAAAACGGAATCCACCTTTCAAACCCAAAAGGCAAACCCAGACACGTCAGTTTTGGGTGGGTTTCTCAAAACAGAACTCAGCTAAAATGTTGGCTTCCTTCTGCTTCCCTAAAAACTCCAGCCAACAGCAAGCCCGCTGAGTCACAGCATCCGGCTCCAGCTGCGCCTCCTCCTCCTGCCTCAAAACTTGCAGTGCCAGCTGCCACCGGCGAGCCTTCTCACAGGCGCTGATGACCGCGGCGTAGCTGTAGACCTCGGCTGGTTGGAGGGCCCCCGAGCAAATGCAGTGCGGAAATGAGGGGACGGCCCACAAAAACAGGGGACACAGGAAACCCAAGTTTCTGATCCTGTTTCAAATTTAGCCGACCCAAAAAGAAAACAACAAGGGGAAAAAAAAAACAGCTTTGGGATCGGAGACCCCAGGTGTATTCTTTTTAAGGACCCTGCTAACCCGCAGGGGCGAAGTAAAGAATTCAGCTTCCCTCTGGCCTGGATACTGGAGGCTTAGTGGCATCCAAATCCAAACCAGCAAACCAAACCACGATTCAGCAAGCTGATGCAAGGCCTGGCCTGAGCAAGTAGAATGCGGTTGTGGGATGCTCGAAAAACACCATGTTGTCAATGAGGAGAGTATACAATCATTCATTAGACCCTTGTGTGGATCCTCCCGCCCCAAAGTGTGAACAAGATGTTCTTGCGAATTAGTGGGAAACACAGATGTTCCGGCACAGAGTCAAGGCTACCCTCTTTCCAACAATCATGGAAGTGGACAAAGGGCCTTTTCAAAAATGGCAGTCCGCTTTTGTGGGTGACGCCCCATAGGAAAGGTTGGGATTTGTGAAGCTGGGTTTCCCAATCCGAACAGAGGCTACGGGCGCCTATCAGTGCCTGAGAAGGCCTGTTGTGGTCCGCTACGGGACCATTGCTTGGGAGATTCCACTGTTGGGCCCTGGGCAACCATAGGACTTTGAGAACTGCCCATCAATATATACACATATATATATACACATGTACATATATCCATATGTACATACATACATATGTACATATATACATATAGACACACACACATATATATATATATACAAATATATATATATATATATATATACATATACATACACACATAATGTACATTTGCATGTGCGTGTATGTGTGCATATATGTGAATTCAGGGGGCACGCGCAAAATTGTGTTTTTTCCCCTTGATTTCTAAAGCGAAAAAAGCAGCCAAGAGGCCGTCGGGGCCACCCTTTCCGCCTGCATCCGCACAAGCAAGGCCACCGCATGTTGCCACCTGCGCTCGCAAGCGCTGAGCGCGCTGTTGTAGCCTGGGTGTTGGAACTTGAAGTCAGGAACAAAAGCTATACTCAATTTCCCTCTAATTGTGTGGCTTGGATTGGTGGCTTGGTGGTTAAGGAGTGGTTTCCCACTCACCCTCTACAAGGACCAGGGTTCAAAACCCCAAACCGCCAATTCAAACCACCAATTGCGGGGAACCTGATATACACCCCCATCAAGTGTCAAAGTAACAATTGACACAAGAATTCATGAGTCAAATGTTACCTGTAGTTCAAATATGTTCAAATGTCACCTTTTAGGTCCCTTTCGGAACAAAGTGACCATCGGCTTGTTTCGCTCCCAGTAGCTGAAGGCATCCGGGCGGAAGAAGTTCCCCATGGCGCTCAGCAGGTCCAAGGCCACAAGCCACTTCTCAGCTTTGGCACAAGCCTTGGAATCGGCCACCTCCCAGCCCCATTGCGTAGTTTCTTGCGGTGGTTTTTCCGCGTTTCTCTCCTGAATGGGGGGGCCCGGGGGGGCCGGGGGATTTCTTTTTTGGCCCGTGGTGACATAGTCATCGCCCAACCCATAAGGTCGACCGTCCCAAAGGAGAACCACTTGCCCACAGGACCTGGAAATTAAGCAGGTGCATCTTTCGCGGCCTTGGCTTTCTATGGGCCCAAATTTGGATAACCAAGAGACCAGGTCCGGTCGATTCGCCTTGGTCTGAGACCAAGAAGCGCTGATGGTGGTGTTGAAGGTGATGATGCTCGGCTTTTTGACCCGCTGATAGAAGCGCAAGGCGGCCCTCCATGGGACATCAATCCAAGCCCACGTTTACTTGGCTGGAATCAGGACCCAACAAAAACTATATGTTTCGCCTGGCTAGTGGAAACAACAAAAAGGGGAGCTAATTCTGGGGAAGTTTAAACCATGGTCTAAACCGTTGCTGCAACAAACACTTGTTTGGCTTCTCTTTACAGGGAGTCTCTTTGGCTGACACTTGGACCGGCTGCAAAAAGTGTTCACTTCTGCTGATGGAAAATCAAATTGCAAAATGTTAAAACAGTCAGTCTGGCAATATAAAGGAGGCCAAGGTGTTCCAACAAATTTTGCCCCGTGCCTCCATGCTCCAGACTCTTCGCAGGTGCTCATGGCGGCGTTCACACAAATCGTGGAAGGGGCCATGCGCATGGCGTCCTGGGCTCGGGATCTCTCATTCTCCGTGCACGGTTCTCGAAATGCGTATGTCTCAAGAAAAAAACCAGCTCTCAACTGGTTGGCCTCCTGTTGGTTTCCTTTAACCCACCATCCACACAGGTGCCTCCCAAATGGGTTTCGGGCAGGCACAGCCAATAAAAATTGCACAGGTAGAATGCAAAACCAATAGATTCTAGGTCCACAGAAAGGCCGA